TAGATCATGTGATGTCATCTATATCCATTTTGTTATGAGTTCTTTACAGCATATATTTGCTGAGCATTTACTTAGTGTTAGACGTTTTTCTAGAAACCAATATCTAGCAAAAATAAATAAATACATCTTGTTTCAAGCCTGGTGATAAAAATCAGTTGAGTGAAGGTTGATACTTTGAGGGGCTCTGGTTTAGACAGAAGCAAAAAAAAAAACCTAAACTGAGAAAAGAGAGCTAACATGGATTCTAGTAAGGTAGAATGAATGGCCTGTAGCCTGGCTTATTTTTCTTTCCCAATAACTAGTATTATAGATTCCTCATTACAGGACTGGTAAAAATATCTGAAAGTTAATAAGGCATCCTTTATAATTTTCCTTTGTGTTTGGAGTCCTAAATATTATGCTTTGTAGTTAGGCTTTGGATGTAGATATTTTCCTGTTAGTAACTACTCTCTAGACTTTGAATCAAAATTTGCTGTAAGAGTTTATTTCCTTTTTTTCTCTTTTTTTTTAACCCATCAACCCAAATATGAAGTATAATTCACTGGTGTAGTTCCACCAAAGCCTTCTGGGCTCCATTCCGCACCACAGTACAAGTCAAGGTCTTTCCGACAGCTCCGTATTGTGGGCTAATATTTGCACAGCTTAATTTTGCTGCGTGGGTTCACAGCCAAGCTGTGATCTGCATGCTGTCTGAGTGGGGAGCCAGCTCATTGGAAAAGAATTAAGATCCAGTTGAGAATTAGCTGATAGATACAAAAGATTTACTTAACCAAGTAAAGTACTTAAAGGGCAGCGATTACTTATAAGAGTTTTATCCTTTAATATTCATGAGTGCTGATCCCTGCAAGAGTTCTTTTAGGAGGCTCCAAAAAATACTAATTATGTGTAAGTTCGGATATTGTATCTGCTGTACCTATTTTTTGACAGATTACACTGCAAAGAAGTTTACCCAGAATGAATGTTCTAACGCCTACTCAGAGTTCTAGCAAGAGCAGTTCTTTTCCAGAAATTCAAGCTCTGATGAAAGCATTGTCCAGACTTATGAAACATAGCACTTTGAAGAAATCCAGTGAATTTCACCTTGTTTTGGGAAACATTTGCCAAGTTGCGTTGCATTAGAACTATTAGACCTATCTGAGTTAGAACAGGCTTGAATACCTAAAGAAGTGCTTAGAGTACATCCAACTCCTATTTGAAGATTTAAGAAATGTTTTTTTTTCTTTAATTTCATTAATTTTACAGTATAAATGTTCTGATTCACTTCTGTCTTGGCAAGGGCTTGATGAAACATTTTTATTAATGTCATTTAAAATAGTGAACCTTATTCATCGTCTGTGTATTTTAAGCTTTACGTCCAAATGTAGTTGGACTTGGAAAAGTTGAAGTGGGAGTGGTGGTAGTGGCTGATGATTTGATGGCCACAGCATTCTTTGTTTACCGATATGGCTTGCAGTATTTTTCATTCACAGGACTATGGAGATTAGTAGAATCCAGAATGTTTGAGGTTAACTGGTTTCAGAATAATTCCTTCTCCCAGAAATCAAAAGTGATTTTAAATTTATGGCTAAAACGCCAATGTGAGTTTAGGTATTACCAATAAAGATAGTATGATGATTTCCTAGGGGAACATACAGGTTTGCTGTAGCCAGCCAACCATGGGTCGGGGAGTGTGGTAATTTACTTACAGGAAAATAGGATCTCTGGCTCATCACAATATTTGAACCAGCAATTTTAGGGGACATGTTGGAAAAAGAAAGAAGAATCTTCAGAATTAAGATTAAGGCTCAAGGATGCAATTAAGTTGCCAGTCTGGCTTGGCAATTTGTTAGTGGGCTCAGCGGGAATATTTTAAGAATACAGATGAGGAAGCGGTGATGCCAAGGGAACAGAAAGAAAATAGAAGATGGAGAACAAGGAACCCAGGATTCAGTAACTGTAATGGCAGCTTAGTCTTAAAGTCTCATTAAGAATCTTATCAAGCTTCCTATTAACAGGCTTTGTAGACTCTGTGCAAACTCTAACATAGAGGGGAGGAGGAAGGATGGATATAAATTACAATCGACATGGAACAACTGATTTAAACATGTACTGGCTGGTTTCTATACTTGGTACCTTAGATATTTTCTGGTGGCTACTTCTTTTGTTAAAGCATGTACTCAACCACAGTAAATTACATTTCACATTTGAGGTGATATGTGAAATCACTACATACCAGGACTGTCATTTATTGTTGTGGCTTTTCCCGAGTGCTTGTATGTAATTTAAATTCTGTGGCATATTGGCAACAGTCCACGCCTGCTCTCACAGGGTGTGTGTCTGTGGTACTTGATGGATAATGTGCTTTCAGGCTGTGAAATCTTGTTTTTGTCGTGACTTTATGCTAGTTCACCCACCCACCCACACCTCCATCTCCAGTCCTCCCAAACTGGGGACTGTTTCTCCAGGAACCACTGACTTGTGTTGGCTTTTGTTTATAGTTTCCATTGACTTCAAGTACTTTTGATAATTCATTTTCTCCACGTTTCAGCCTGAAGCTAGAGACTCAGACACAGAAGGACACTCTTGCCTAGATACTAGGAGTCCTGAAGACTGTTCCAGGTCTGGTCTGAGGGAAAAATTGGGATTAACAAATACACACTACTATATATAAAACAGATAAACAACAAGGTCCTACTGTACAGCACAGGGAACTATATTCAATACCTTGTAATCATCTACAGTGAAAAAGAATATGAAAAGGAATACATATATATATATATAAATAAGGGAATCACTTTGCTGTAACCTGAAACTAACACAACACTGTAAATCAACTATATTTCAATTTTAAAAAAAAAAGGAAAAAACCAAATTTTAAATGTAAGTGTGTGGGCAAGAATGAGCAAGGGGCAAATACTATCTGGAGGGGACTGCCCCCTAGGGATCAGTCCTAGCAAATGTTAACCAAACGGAAGCTTCTGTCTTTCACAGGATGAATTTATTCCTAGTGGTTTCTTTACCCAACCCCGTCTTTTTTGTTGCCTTTCTGACATGGCTTTTGTAGGCATTTCACTGGTGGCTGCTCTTTATCGCTCTCTGCTGAACTAAACAAATAACACAATTTGCCTGTTGGTATTTGCCTCTTACCCTTCACCCAGCACTCTGCAGAATAGTTATGTAGCTGAACCGAGTGCGTGTAACTCTTATTTCCCCTCCTCACCCCCCACTTCCATGCCGCAAACTCATCGAGCTCTTGAACCATTTTAAACCTCTCTCTGAACTTTTCCTGATACAGGTCACTACCATTGCAAGCAACTCAAGAAAATAATGCTTTCACTATATAGCACTGCCCTGTTTAAAGGCCTCTTGAGGCTCCCTGTTACTCGTAAGATTTAGTGTATTTTTCTGTTTTTTTCAATTTAGCCCTCCTTTGTTTGCTAAAACATCTTTCTGGCCTTTTCTCCTCCCTCTTCTGTGGTTCTCTAACCTGGCTAATAATTAAAATCCCCTGGGAAACTTTTTAAAAGATCAATTCCCCGTGGGCCTGACCTCTAGAGTTTGTGGTTTAAGTGGCCTGCTGTGGGGCCTGGAGGATGGGTGGCTTTTTTTTTTCCCCTTGCTTTTTTCTAACTTGCAGTCAGGCTTGAGAACCACTTTTCTAAACTCGTGGCCCTCAGAGTGTGGTTCTAGACCAGTAGCATCTGCATCAGCCGGGAGCTTGTTAGATATGCAAATGATTGGTCCCTACCCCAGATCTCGTAAATCAGAAGCTCTGGGAGTGAAACCAGCAATCTGCATTTTAACAAGATTCTGATGTACTTCAAAGCTGTGCTGTCCAAGATGGTAGCCACTAGCTACCTGTGGCTATCGAGCACTTGAAATGTGGCCAGTCCAAACTGAGATGGGCTGTAATGCCAAGCACCCAATAAACTTTGAAGACCTACTACAAAAATAGAATGTGAAAGTCACATAGATGATATTTTAAATTAATCACACATTGAAATGATATCTTGGGCAAGCTGGATTAAAAAATACATTGTTAAAATGAATTTCACCTACTTCTTTTTTTAATGTGCCTGCCAGAAAATCTGAAACTGCATACATGGCTTGCATTACACCTCTCTTGGACAACATTGATCTAAAATTTGAGAACCACTGATCCCTGCCATCACTATTTTCCTACACAGAATTTTTTCCTCAATGGTTTAACCAGAACACAGACTGGCTTTTTAATTTCACACCTCTGTACCTTTCATGTATCATTCCCATCACTAGAAGATCTTTCCTACTCCTCCATACTTTTTTTTTAATTGAAGTACAGTCAATTTATAATGTTGTGTTAATTTCTGGTGTACAGCATAGTGATTCAGTTATGCATATATATTTATATTTTCATGTTCTTTTTCATTATAGGCATGACAGGGCATTGAATATAGTCCCTGTGCTGTGCAGTAGGACCTTGCTATTTATCTGTTCTACCCCTCCATACTTGAACCACTCTGGCTGACTCTTTTAGGCTGAGCTTTTCATGTCTGTTTATTTCTGAAGTATCTCCCAGCCACTCTAGCCTATGGTAACCCCCTTTCTCTACTTTTGTGGTTCCTGATTCCAGAAAGGGAGCAACTATGACTGGGGAACTCAGAGAGGGGGCACTTGCGCTCAGTCTTCAAGGACGGTGGAGTCGCTGGAAGGAGGAAGGGGAGAGTAGCAGGCCAGTCAGACGGAGAGGGGAGGCTGGAAGCTCCTGGCCGGCAGAGCCCGTTCCCCTCCCCCTTTTGCACCCCCCATAGTGCAGGTCAGTGTGTCCCACAAGGCAGGAGCCCAAAAGATACTCCTGGTTGATGAAGGTGATGGACCCGAGAGGCTACAGTGAGGGAAGGACAACAGCAAGAAAAGTGGATGAAAGCCACAGGATCCAAGAATGAGGTCTCTTTTTGAAAAAAATCTCTTCCTGTTTCCATTTACCAAGATGGTAACAGAAAATTCACAGGTTACTTGGTTTCAGTAACTTGTAGAAATCAAACCATGTATTTGGAGCTTTTGTGATAATGGGGATGGGGCAGCAGTGGAGAGAATCTTTCACCACAGTTCAGGGTGATGTCCGGGATTTTTCTCCTATGTCTCCTACGTTCTATCTTACATCAGGTACAATTTCGCTTAAAGGATGTAAGGGAGACTAGATGACCTCCAAACACGACTTTCTGCCCAGGACCCTGCGGCCTACACCGTGCACGGCGGACCCGCGGCACTGGAGGAGAGGTAATGCCTTCTCTATTCTATTTAAAATCCCACCGTACGCGGCCCCCACAGCATTCTTCTACTTTCTCAGCATTCTCTTTCTTGTCATTTCCCACCATCATGTGATATTAAAACAGAAAAAAAAAAGAGTGATTCTGTTAGGGATGTGAAAGGGGAGTTTTTAAAGTGAAAAAAATCAAAAGCAGACCATGCTCCTTCTCATATGTCACTTGTTTGCTCACCCTCAGACCACTCCTGTACATTAGTCCGTTTCATTCTTTCTATCATGCCATTTTTAGAAAGTTAATGTTTCATATTTCTCAGAAAGGACTGTTTAAACCACCAGACATCCCAGATGCTTTGACAGTTGCTTCGAGCACTTCAAAAAGTTCTTGAGCGAAAACATGGATTGGATCTTTGTAGGCTCCTCAGGGGGACAAGCAGTACCTCTTGCATTGATTATAATTTTCTGCCTCTAGAATCCTTTCATCTTCATTAATAGGAAGAGAAATATCGACTTGCAAATACTTCCGAAGACTCAAATAGTGATGTTTTAAATTCAGTCAAGATATATGAGTCCCAAGACAATGAAGTACCTAAGTATGATATTATCAAGTTATAAATGACCTGTTTTTCATCACCACCTTGAAAAAAAGTTTAAAAAAATGAACCTATTTCCAAGTGGACCTCTAAAATAGCACCAGCCAAGCATGAGATTGGGATAAAGCATTTCATCAAAATGTCCATAGATCATTTCTTTTAGGTGTAGATGAGTATCTTGCAAGTTGCCACACAGTGCACATTTTTATAGTTGCATTGGAGAGCAATGTGATAATATCTTGCTAGATGTTTTTTATGACAAGAGGCAATGTGATCAATAAAAAAAAACAAAACTCAGAGTAGGTTTCAAACACAGGAATCAATTTTATGTGAGGAATGAAAGATAAAAAGGCAACATATTTAATTCCCAAACCTGTGTGCTCTCTTGGCCTATTTTACGTTTTATATCATTTTTTTCCCCAACTATCATTTTGGTTTCCATTTCCCAGGAACCATCTATGCTATTGCCATAGTTGGGTTGCTAACATAGGTTTAAGATCAAGAACGGCTTTGTGAATTCTCTTTTCTTTTCTGAAGATGATTGGAAGTTCTAAGTCTCCCTGGTACCCTCGCCCTCACCAATTTCCTGTAAATAGAATTTTACTCCTTTAGAAAGTAGCAAAGGTAAGTAGTTAGAGGAGATGTCTATATATCCTCAAAATAGTCAGCAGAAATTAATAAAAACTGGTCTTATAAATCTACTTCCTTATGCAGAGTAAGCTTGGAGGTTGCACACTGGCTCTGGAGCCCCTGGTCACAACTGATTTGGGTGGCTGTTGCTTCAGACTCAGTGTCCTAAGCTTTTCCTACCCAAATCCAAAGAGTCCCTAAATGCAGAGAATCTGATATCTGAACACACTGTTCTCAGACAGTTGAGCTCACCTTCCTAAGGGCAGATGCCCTCAGTTTCTCTAGGGGGCACCCAGTTGACCTCCTATTGGCTCTGAGATCTGTTTCCCAAACTTCTGCCCTGGCTTGAATGGCAAGGAATTACCTTCCCCAGGCTCTAGGTAGGTTCATTCATCCAATGGGAAGCAAGATTAGGGTCATGGGGTGGGATGATGGCAATGGTGTAGTTTTGGGGTTTTTTTCCCCTTCTCCTTCCTTCTCCTCCTTCCTCTCCCCCTCCTCCTTCTGATTTTCATGGCATTTCTGGCAGCATCTCTTCCATAGCTCTGATTTCTGCCAGGCAGCCTCTCTTCCTGTGGTCCCAGCTCTTTCTGGTCCATGCCTACCATGTCTACCTCCCACTCAGTGGCCTGGCTTGTGGGCTCTTGTAATACCACTTCCTCTGGTCGTCTCTCTAGACCTAGGAACGACAGCTTCTTCCTGCTCTTGCCAAACTCTGGGTGGCCTCACCATCCCCTCTTAGGACTCTGTTTTTCCACCAGCTTTTGCAGGAGATACGCCAGCTCCAAGTCCCCTTACTGGCCTGGTGTACCTACCGCCCTGCTGCCATGAACCTTGACTGCTGAGAGCTCAAAACTAGCCCCCTTCTCTGTGACTGAACTCATGGCAGCAGACAGAGCAGCCACAGCCAGTGATGACGGGTCCAGGTTATGAAACACTGAGCACTTTGTGTCAAGGAAGGGACGGTTTTGTGGTGGGGTTTATGTTACAGGGCGCCCCCTGTCTGACCTGACCGCATCCTTGCTTGGCCCTTTCCTTTTCTCCAACCTGATTTGCTCTCTCCCTCACAAGCTTTTCTTAAAGAGCATACCTTCAAAAACATCACCTGCACCCAAATCCTTGTCCCACGTTGTCATTTCTTAGTGACCTAAACTGAGGAAGCTGTGTAACTAAATCCTTCTGTTTGAAAGTCTTAGTCTGTCTTCCTAACTGTGTCCTCAATGACACAGAAAGCTAAAGTAACTCTCAGCATCTCACTTGCTGGAAAAAAAAGCACAATGACATACCTGTCTGGGTATTCCAGTACAGAAGCAATTTCATACCCACTGCGCATTTGACTGTCTTAACCACTCTCTGAGGTGCAACCTCCCCTGTCTTTCTCTAATCTCAGTAGTTTTCTTTTACTTTCTTTAATACAGTGTGTTTTTTCCTGCCTCAGATTAGCTTCTAGATGCTCCTGCTTTTTCTGGAATGGGTTGAGGGATGTTAGGTGAATTGTCTGCATGACAATTCATCCAGGAGATAGAACTGGGTCATAAAGATTTTCTGAGACCCAGACAGTGAGTTTCCTGTTGCCCCACATCCTTCTTATTAGGAAACAGTCATGCAGAAAATACTTTTTAAAGAGGAAATTAACACAATAAAGTAAAAAGGTCTTTGAGGTTACACTAACTTCCTGTCCTTGTATTGAGAATGATTGCTGTTCGGTGCTCATTTAGAGACCTTAGATCTTTCTGACAGGAATAACAAGGGCGGAGATCAAACTGGGCCAGTGAGAAGGTAATTCTCACCAGCATCCTTACCTTCTCCTCCAGGCAAGGAATATACCCACTGATGTGATTCTGAGGGACCCCTGACAAGTGAGCTACTGGGTGATGGTCATCCTTCCACTGAGGCAGGCAGCCAACCCCCGACCTTCCTCTCCACCCCAACTTCCACCATCATCCTGGCTTACTCTCAACTTCAAATGGATGACCTCTCCAATGCCCTTGCCCTCATGGTTCTCTGATCTCTGTACCGCCACAGGCCTTCACATTCACTTACCCTTGTCGTGACTTGGGAGTCTCCTCCTTTGAAACATCAAAGTTCAACAACTCACCATCAAACCATGACCTCCCATCTTTCCAGCTCTTGCTCTGTCACCCCAGTATACTCATTGGCCTCATGAAAAGTTAAATTTACTTGATTGATTCATTTTCTTCCAATTTCTCAACTATGTGCCACCTTCATTTTCTTCCTGACTTTGCTTAGACCCCATGATCTATGGTGTTCAGCTATCAAGAACACAAGAATCTATGGACTTGAATTGTTCTCTTGCCAATCTCCTCAGCTCTCATAGTCCCTTTCTATCGCTGCCCTCATGGCACGATTCCAGCCTGCTAATCTACAATTTCTCTTCTCAGCTCCTACACTGAGTACTACTTGAGGAAGTCAATACTCCCCTTGGCAAGAGCAGGTTGAGCAGGTAAAAATCTCCTATTTTACTTGGACAATTACAGTCATTAAGTATGAAACTTAACTAAAACATATACATGCTCACCCATCATTTCAGTCTGATGATGAGATGTCCCTCTTTTTCAGTCAAATGAGTCCAGATAAGATATCCCCTCCCGTGAGTTCACTGAGAATATGTACCATGTTTTATCCCTATTTTATGAATATTAGAACCTGGGGCATAGTAGGTAGTCACTAAGCATCCTATTTAACGACTCACTCTTTCTATATTTTTCTGTAGCTGGTATCACCTTTACTTAGGTCTGTGTATCTTACTACACTGAGTTCCCTGAGGACAGGAATTGTTTCTTAGTCATCTTTTATCCCTTACACCTGGCAATGTCTGCAACATAGTAGGGATGAGTGAACAAACAAGGTGAGAGGAAGTGAATACCTTAGTGACACAGTCATTTTTGTGCATTTAAATATTATTAGATGTGTTGATAACTGGATGTCTAAGGGAGGAAATTAGTAACATGACAAGTCCAAGTGCACAGTTATGACAGCTCAATGAGTTTCTAAGTTGCTTTATTACCAAAGATAATTATTTCCATCTCAAATTTAAGTCAATTCATTAAAAAAAAACCACCTAATTAGAGATTTTTAGCCTGAGAATGATCTGAGAGCCCCCCATTTTCTTTGGCCCAGGTTCCCTTTAACACCTCTTGACAGAATTTAAGACTACCACTGTGCACAGATGCAAGTTCTCATTCTGAAGTCTACTCCATCCTTTTCTCTTTGGTTATTTTGTTTAGTTGCTTATACGATTTTCTTTAGGATACCCTGCTTGGTGTTTTTTCCCCTTCTTGTTATCATAGCAGAAATCATCAGAGTTGTAACTCCTATTTCCTAGCCCATTATTTCAGTCTATTTATTGCTGGCCATTGCCTGATCATGGTAAACACACACACACACACACACCCAAGTATGAGAGAGAATAAGATTCTGAAACACAATCACAATTGCCTTGTGTACAAGCTTTCCAGGCCCTTTCTAGACTTAAAGAAGCCATAGTGAAACCTCCTGACACTACATTTGCTTATCCGAGGTCTCCATGCAGTCAGGAATCTGACTTTTTTTTTTTTTTTAACTGCACAGGAATCTCACCATGAACTACTTTACCACAGGCCTCTCGAGAATGTCAGATAAGAGCAGAGCGCTCCTTTCCTCTTGTAAAAATCCAAGTTTCTGGCTACTCATAAAATAAGAAACTAGGCTCTTAGCACAAAGGCACTTGATGATTCCCCAACACAGTCCATCCTTGATTATTTAGGATGTAGGTCATGTACTTCTGAGTCTTCTGTAGTTTGTAGTTCTGGGTTGAATTTTCCCTCTTGCCCTGCATAGCTCTAAATTAGCTCCTCTTATATTGTCTGTTTGTGGTAAGGGTTTACAAGCTTTAAAAATATTAACCTAGTAAAATAAATTAGAGAGCAAATATGTTGCCCCCAAATCGTATCAGACACTCAAAACCGAAAGTAAAGTCTTCAGTGCAAGGCCCAGACTCCCCTTCAGGACGAAACTCTCCTCCTCACCTCCAGGGCCGTGGCCTGCTGAGAGCGCTGGGCAGGCAGTCTTTCCCTAGGACTTGCCCTGGAGGGAAAGGAGCTGCTTTGCCAGTGTCATAAGCAGCCCACATTTCAATGACTCTTCAGTGTAGGAAGTTGCAAAACTGACCCTTTGTCGCCCTCAGCCCAGCCTCCTCCTACGCACCATTTGGGCAGGCCAGTCCAGTTTCAGAGCTCTCCGCGTGACCAGCTGAGACTTCTGTTCCAACTGCTTCCAGTTTAATTTCTCCCTCTGCCCAACACTGTTTCCTTTACTCCCTTATGGGTGTTATTCCTCAGAATATCTCCAAAAAAACCACCTGGATGCAGTTCTCCAGCTCAGGGTTGGTTTCTTGGGGAATCTCACCTCAGGCTATTAATGCCAGGACTGAGCCTACAAAGGAGACTCAGGTGACTCTGGAGCTGGGTCACCGACCAGCTGGCTGGGAGGAAGGACCCTGTCACTGGTGATGGGTAGATTATGGGCAGCCCCCAGCCTACTGTAGTGGTGCGACTGTTAAACTCCCACAGGCGGTAAACTGGTATGGGAGTAGGAACTACTGTAGGCATTATAAA